CTGAATGTGACGATTCTAATAGACTTGTAAACATCTCTAATAATTTAATGATTGTCACACATGTTAAACATGCAATGACTATTTGTTATAGTTTACCCATGGCCTATTAAATTGCTTATATTTTAATGAGAACGTTTTCTACACTCAACGATGTGAGTTAGACATAAACCGAAGTTATACGAAGCACGGTAACATTTCTCAGCTTATGTGCATCTTATCTGCCTGCAGTCCCACAAAATATTTATGATTAAATAAATTCTAATTCAGCGTGTCTGAAAATAATAACATTTTCATGATCCTTACATGAAGGGTGGTTATCCAAAGATCTTAATCTTATAGCAATTAGAAGCTCTGCGTACCCCATTATCCAAACTGAATATTAACATTGGTATTTTTCAAGTATCCTGCCATTTGAGTTTTTAATTAACATTTTACCTATAGCGGAGTCACTATTTTGGTTTGGTGATTATTTTCAGTAAACATGTTTTTTAGGTGCGGAAAAAGAATTTCTTCCGCCGGCACGCGAACTGTAAATACGGGACCTAATGAGTTCAAATTAAAATCTTCTACGCAATTTTATTTATAGATAATACAGACGCTTTCTATCCTCTGTGTCGCTCTGTACGACAGCCCGCGAGGACAAACTATAACAAAGCTTCTGCCTGGGACATCGCTGTCATATATCTATACTTTTCTACCTTTCGCCAGATTGACGAACCAGGTTTTCTAAGTTGGTTAACATTACCAATAATGACGATGGGTTGAAAAATAAGAAATCATATCTGTTGACAAGTTAGTGATGTCTTAAGGTGCATTAAAGTTGTTACTCGGGGTAGGTGATTGGGTGCAGTCCCGCGGCACTGTTTTGATACGCGCGCTATAATTTGAAAAACAATATTTGTGGATTGAATTGAAACTCATTTGTATCCGTACTTCCATGTTTCGTTACAACGGAAGAAAATTTTGCTCTCGTGCCTGTAAATTTGCAATAATCAAGACAATGTTTTGGTCATAGTTATCATGTTAAGGAAATAAATCTGAAATGGTAAGGTGTATCAAAATTAGCAATATTAATCTAGACAATGTTTTGGTCATAGTTATCATGTTAAGGGAATAAATCTGAAATGGTAAGGTGTATCAAAATTAGCAATATTAATCAGCTGTCTGGACGTGGGAGGAACGTAGAGCACAAGCCGTGCAACAAGCGATGAATGGAGGTGGGCTTGTTGCGTTCTGCTGCAGCGCTGTTCTAGGAAGCGCTGCACAAATTACCTCTTCATCTTAATCGCGTGGTCAAATTTACCTGCTGCTGCATAAACTAATATATTTTTTTTATATATATTTAGCTATCGCTATAGGTATTTCCACCTACCGAAAGATACACAACCTTGAATATATCAGTCGAGTTGCAGATTAATGAATTATTTCGGAAAAAATTCTGATGCCCTGCCCGCTTATCGTCTTTGTATTATTTAAGGTTCGGCTAATGAACTCAGGAATTACGAATATACAAGAACTATTCCCAATCTGGTGACAGCCTATGGGAGTTTTGTTCCTCCAAATTGTTATGTAAACATTCGCAAATTGTTATCCAAACCTTTGCTGATCCGCTCCGCTGTATATCTATATAAGTGTTCACGATAGCGTCTAGATGCGTGAAGAATTATGAACCTTATGGATAAATAAAATACTGAAAATTTATTATCCATTGATGCACATTTTTCTAAGGGATCCAAGACTATATATATATATATCTTTATGTTTAAGATTTATTTATATGACAGAATGTTATCTTCGCACATACAGCGTGGCTTCATATGCTTCAGTTCAAAATTATAAGAGAGTTACTCATAGAAATAAAGAATCGAGAACGTGTGATCATAGAGCATGTAGCAATGGAGCGAGCTCTTGGGGGTAACATATTTATAAAGGAGTGTTGAATATCCGAATATTGATTCACTAACAATGAAATGAGTAAATTATTTTGCAGTTTACTGATTATGAATAATTCCAGATTGCAAGCGGATTTCAATTTTAAATTGCTGCTTCTTAAGTGTTGTATTAGATTCAAGTAATTGGAAATCTTCATACTTTTTTATTGTTACAAGTTATCTTGACGTAGAATTACAGGTGCCGTGTTTAACATTGTTGAAAAATAATAAGCGAAGCTTAAAAAGTTTTTTATGCGTTGGCTGCTTCTTTCTTTAGTGATTCAAGACAAGATCCATGCAGAGACCAGCACACATTTTTACAATATTATAGTACGAATTAATGAAGTACCTTCATGTTGTACAAGACCTTGCCTTCTAATGAATATTTTATCTCTTAACTATTCTATAATAGGTAAGTAAAGTAAATAGTAAGAGGTAAGAGGTGTACGGTAAGAGGTAAGAGGTAGGAGGTAAGAGGTAGGTAGTAAGAGGTAAGAGGTAGGAAGTAAGAGGTAAGAGGTAGGAAGTAAGAGGTAAGCGGTAAAAGGAAAGAGGTAGGAGGTAAGAGGTAAGGAGGTAAGAGGTTAGAGGTAAGAGGTAAGAGGTAAGAGGTAAGAGGTAAGAGGTACGAGGTACGAGGTACGAGGTACGAGGTACGAGGTAAGAGGTAAGAGGTAAGAGGTAAGAGGTAAGAGGTAAGAGGTACTAGGTACGAGGTACGAGGTAAGAGGTAAGGGGTAAGAGGTACGAGGTACGAGGTACGAGGTAAGAGGTAAGAGATAAGAGGTAAGAGGTAAGAGGTAAGAGGTACGAGGTAAGAGGTAAGAGGTAAGAGGTAAGAGGTAAGAGGTAAGAGGTAAGAGGTAAGATGTAAGAGGTAAGAGGTAAGAGGTAAGAGGTACGAGGTAAGAGGTAAGAGGTAAGAGTTCCTATAATATTAATTATTGAGCCGCAATAAATGAGCCATTATTAATCAATTGTTATTAATGAATCGTAAAGATTTGAATATTAATGAGTCTCAATTAATGAGTCTTCATTAACGAGCCACTAATAATCAGTCACAAATAATGAGTCGCAATTAATAAGACACAAATAATGAGTCGCAATTTGTGAGTCTTCATTAATGATTCGTAATCAATGAGTCACAATTAACGAGTCACAATTAATGAGTTATACTGAATGCATAGCTTGTTTCGAGCACATTTTTTTATTTAAACTGGACAACTAACAAAAATTAGACCAATCCTACCCATTAAGCAAACTAGTTAACTAACCAGTAACTAGTTCATTAATTAATCATTAAAGGAGGCACCTCTGGAAGACAGCCCCCGTCATCATGGGCGACCTGCGGGACACGTATACATCAGACACGTACACGTGACGTTTTGTCTTCCCAGCCTTCAAAAATACGAAAGTAAATTTTTCGGTGATTTCCATTTTTACTCCTGCCATTTCGACTCCGGTTCACGAATACTGCAGACGTAAAACTTTTCGATGGCTAACTAAGGAAGTTTCGCGATGATTTGACGTCTGGAATTAGCCAGCTCTATATTAGGCACATTTCAGTATCACCGTGAAAAATTTGGCCTTGGTCTCTCATTGTAACTTCTTATATTTAATTAATGAAGTAGAATCAAATGTAGACTTCTTTTACTTCGTATAATTTTATTTTCAGTACATAATTCAACGTTCGTTCGTTCTCATACATCAAGCCACGCGTGCGCTCGCGTGCCAGCGTCGCTTACAATAACTTACATTCCCATTTTCTAATTTTTTTTCAAAATTATTTATTCTATTAATTGATTCATGCATTGCCTCTGACTTCACACAAGTGTGCAAAATTTCAGATCAATTAGACAGGTAAAAGTGTGTCAAATATCAGTTAATAAGATTTTTGGCTGACAAAATTATTTTTCCAATTTTTTTAATATTGAAAAAAAATTTAATTACTTTTTAAAATCATTTATTTTGACATTTGATTCATGCATTGTCTCCAATTTTAAACAAGTATGCAAAATTTTAGATCGGTAGGATAAGTAGAAGTGTGTTAAATTTCGATTACAAGATTTGTAGCAGACAGACAGACAGACAAACAAGAAGTGAAGTTAAAGAGAAGTGTTGTAATAATTAGGTTTATATATTGGATTCCGCACATAGCCTCGTACGTCGAAAGGGAAAGCGAAATCGGAAAAAATATCACGAACTAAGAATAACCGTTATTATCTAATCAGCGTAAATGTTCTAAGTTTCATCGAGCTACATTCATTAGTAGATATATCATGCTTACTACAAATTTGACAACCAGCCGCAAAAACATTAGTAAATATTTCATGATCACAGCAAATTTACTAACCAGCCGCCAAAATGCTCTCTGCTTCTCCGTATAGCCAGATAACTCGCAAATGAAGCATTAATTAAAAATTTTGCATGACTTTAACGTCACCGTTGGGTGATTAGGAATGTATATTCAAGATTACGTACCAATTTGTTCAGTAATTTATAAAATATTTTATGTTTCCTGCACATTTTGGCTCGTACGACCGTATAAGTTGGAAATGAAGGCAAAAAAACGAAGGCGTACTCGAAAAAAATAATCCCAACGGAAACATTACTGTTAGGGCCCAAAGAATCAACGTGCTAAGTTTAATCGAACTACGTTCATTAATTTGAGAAACATTTCATGTTCACTTGATCTTGGAAACCGGCCGACAGACCGTCCGGTAGATGTTGATATATCTTCCAGTGAGGCGAATAATCACAAAAAATATGTAAACATGTACATGCAAATTCAGATGCATAAAATACGAATTATAGTACCTAAATTAGTTGACCATTATGTAATCCTCTCCTTTTTTAAAGAATTATAAAGAAAAAATGTTAATGTCGCGATTGAACTGGAATGGTTTTTGAAATTAATTCACATATATTTTGACTCACTAAGATTATATGTAATAATATAAAAAAATTTTTAAACCTTAAGTATTTCCTATTCATCGATTAAAAATGGTAACAATTCTCTGTCCACCTATATTATTCGTTAAAATCAAATGCGCTTTTACATCTTCATCTGTTTCCAACAAACGTTCCTTTTGGGTTGTGGCCTGGCTGGAGTCATATACTCTCCATTATCTCATTTTTATTTCGCAACTTATAGCGCCCAGAGCTTCCTCGCCATCTTCCAAAATGAAGGTTTTCAAGGATATTTTGACCAGTAAGTATAGTTTTTGAAAAATATCTCCCTTGCGTCTTATTTAGCATATAGTATAAGGCTATAAGCTACAACAGGTTTTGCCTGGCTAGCACGTGGCTTTTGAACCTTGTCGTTACATTGGAATTTTAGAAAGTTTTGTGAAAGTTGAACTAACAAGAAGTCTTTGTGTAATGTGTTGTATCTGTATCGAATGTTTTTTTTTTGTTCTCCAATCTCCGCTTAAAATTTTCTTGAACATATGTACTCGTATAGTAATTTTTTCAGTCACAAATCAGTAATCACTAGGTATGCTGTCACGAACAATGCAGTTTCCAGTACTGGAATTCGTCTCAGAAAATGCAGAACATCACTGACTGGCTATTGTTAGGTACTTTCAAGTCGAATGTTTAAGGTTTACCTATAACATTTACTTTCAAGTTAGTCTAGCTGTTGTTTTGAGTTCCACTGTTCCGGCAATATGTTAGTAAGAGTTGTAAAAAATTACCAAGATTCTTGAACAGGAGGCATTCATCAATTTTTTTACTTCAAAAATAGTATTTAGCATATTTTACCTATTTATGTATGTAGTAATAACTCACTAATAATGTAAGGTTTCACCTTGGCATTTATGTTCATTATTCACTATTTAGGTATATTGAAATATAAACACATGTTTGCACCAAGAGTATAAATAGCCTATTATGATATATTACATATTATATTATTAGTTACTTTGTCATATAGCCTGATATACCTAGCCTCATATAGGTATCAATCTTGCTACTACCTCATCTGCTCATCAGCTCACCCAACTCCGAAGTTGAATAACATGGGAAATCCACAGCCATGATGGTGTGCAAGTACTATTATAAAAGTTCATGTTGCACAAGACTTACCTTCAAACGGGGTTAAAAAGGGACGGTTTTAAGCATTTTTTGTTGATAACTTCTTACCATGAAACATTTCAGAAACAAGTTTAGGCTCATTTTATAGCTCTTTGCGAGAGCTAGCAAATGGCATCTTCAAAAAAATTCCATATGCTATTTGTAAGGCGCTAGACACAATATAGAAGGCTCCTGAATTAATCTTGAAATGGGATATAAAGGGACACTTGAAATAAAACTCAATTTCAAACATTTGAAGCATGCAGAGTGTACTCGTCTATTACTAACAGTACCTACTCTGAAGTCCTCCTCTTTCATTGTAGATGATATAGATGTAAAATAAATGACATTTTCTGTGATTTTTACCTACTTGTTTTTCCTTTATTGATATGTTATTACCACATTCATTAATTACCGTATTATTAATGTGATATTACTGTATCCTTCCATGGACATGCCATAATAATTGCCATTGAGCATTGACAATGACCTTGTCCACTGCAAGCTTCATATCAGCAGCCATGTAGCATTTCTTCTGTATCTGTAAGCTTACAGGATGGTTCGTAATTTCGCACAATTTTAATCAAGTCTAGTGATTTCACTATAACAAAAAAGATTGTGAAAAACATACTGTACCTGAAACAGAAAATAATGTTCTAGTGACAAGTGACAACCATCATATGTTTTGAAGAAATAAATCATAGTTTAGGTCAATTACTTTTCATTCTATGATGCCTGGTGCGCAATTCTATAGGTATATAGCATTCTATGTACAGTTTTGTGATGACCGATGATGCACTAATTTTCCAATAAGTGAATTTTTTTGCCAAGCAAGGTAAATGTAATCAAAATTCTTTGTTGTTAATCAATTTTTTTGTTAACTGGAGCCTTTGTTGACTGAGGTTCTACTGTAAATGCATTTTTAAGGGTGTCCTTAATTACCCCAGGGGGTGTCCCGTATGCTTATTACCCTGTCACTTGGAAATGGCTGCCATTTTTGGGGGAATGAGATAGGCAAATTCTGTCAATTACGTTTTCAAGCTGACACCTGGTTGCAACTTTTATGTAAGTAAAATTTTTCAATACCGCTAATATTTTTTTTTGCTGTAGACCTTAGCAGAGGTACTTTTCCAAAATCGCACTTTTCACATTTTTTCAGCAATTTTTTAGAGATAGTAAATTTTTGATTTCTTGACTAGCTTTATACATAATAGATAGTAAAAATGTTGAAGTTTATGCCACTATTTTTAGTTTTGCAATATTTTGATTAGTTTAGCTGCTACAACATATCAAAGAAATGTGGGACGCGCGTCCCTATTTACCCAGTTTGATGTTTGATGGTATCTCGCACAAGTCACAACCCCACTCATGACTCTGGACTCATTTGAATAGTGGTTAGCCAATGGCACTGCTCCTGTTTTCTGGAAGCAATACTGCAAAATCTCTTCATAGCTATATTGTTTTGTAGTAGGCTTAGAGTATGATATAAATGGAAGTTTTTTTTGTTCTACCTATTGATGTGTACTAATATAGTAATCACTAATCAGCTGTATACTACTTTACCATGAACCACACTGGAAAATTTGCAGAAGCCACCTGTAAATGAGATAAAAAGTGCCTATGCTTGTGGATAATTTCAGCAGGTTCTATGTCCTTTGCTATCTTGATGATATTTGTGAAAATGAAATAAAATAATAATGAGAAGAAAAAAAATTTTTTTGCTCAAAATTATTGAATGCCTACAGCCTACAAAACATTCCTTTTTGCCTATAAATTAAAGTCCAATGTTCAATTGAATCGAGTTGAAGATTATGATTCAGTTGAACATTATTGTAAACTGGGGTAACTTTGACCACTTTTTTTTTCAAAATGATGCCATTTTTTTACTAGATAAGTTAAACTTGAATTGAAACGTGCAAAATACAGGTCTATACTCTAGCTTTACTCACCATAAATTGCTGGCTCCTGCCTCTCATAGTTTTGATGTAATTTAAAAAAAAGTGATGGTCTTTGTTACCCCAGCTCTTGGGGTTTCTTTGACTGGGTGATAAAATCAATTTTATTTTTTGGTAAAATAACTCCAAATAACTCCATGCATTGTAGTAGAACTCTTCTAGTTACATATGCAAAAGAAAAATTTTAGGAAAGTGTCATAGTTTGCAAATGGGGGGCGCCGCCCCCAAATGGGCAAAATGTGACCATCTAATGGCAGCCGTGATGGCGTAACATTGACCGGTTTGGAAATTAAGTTAAAATTACCATATATAAGACTGTAGAGTCTGAAACATGAAGAAAAAAACATTAATAGGTGTATCAAACATAAAATATGTTATATAGGTACCTATGGTAATTTTAACTTAATTTCCAAGCCGGTCAATGTTACCCCGTCACGGCTACCATTAGGTGGTCAAAGTTACCCCATTGGGGGGCAGCGCCCCCCATTTGCAAACTATGACACTTTTCTAAAATTTGTCTTTTGCATATGTAACTAGAAGAGTTCTACTACAATGCATCAAAACCTGGAGTTATTTTACCAAAAAATAAAAAAATTTGAGGGGGTACTCCGACAGGCTTTGAATAATAGCTCTTTTTCGTGGGTCACATTTAATTTTTTAACCTATTAGATATGCAAACTTTTTAAATCTTTCTATTGTGTTACATAGCCTCAGTATTAGGCCTTTGATGGCCATTGACCAAATTTTTCTATGTCGAATCGTTTTTGAGTTTTTGGGGTTGTTGTTAAAAAAACGAAAAGGGGTCAAAGTTACCCCGCCGGTCAAAGGAACCCCATTTTACGGTACTTTACATTTTTATGAAGATTATAATCAATCATTATTATGACTATGTGACATACAAAAATACATAACAGTTGAGGTAGGGTAACTTACATCGGGGCAAGATCACTGTGGGTTATGAGCCCATAGCGGGTTTCCCGCTAAGTATGGCAGATATTGGTCGGTGTTCTCTACCGCCAGTCGAAAGTTTCACTGGACGAAAGTGTGTGGCTCTATGATTTGCTAAGAGTTTGCATTGTTAAGTTACTTGCAAATAACTGTTTTAGCCCAGATAAAAGTTTTTTTGCTGCTAAATAAAAAAATGTTGACATGATATAAATTGAAATGATACTTAGTGGGAATGGGCCCATGCTTGTCACGGGGCAAAGCACCCATGGTCATGTTGGCAATCTAGGAATTGGGGAAACCTCTATTTGGACTCGTTCACTTTTAATCACTTCACTTTTCATCATTTGAAATACCACTTCTGTAAGTCTTGTAATCTATTATGTAGTACATAAATTTACACGACGAATGGAATAGCTCCTTATTTAAAGTTCATTATTAAATGATACACTAATAAATGACTACAAATTCTTGACCTGGTCTATATCGAATTACTGCAAAATGTATGCCAGTGCGTGGTACGCATTTAGACGTGCAATTAGCCATTACATAGTGATCGCGGATTAGAATGTTATTTTCCCGCGCTGCGGAAGAAAGTACGAAATTAATTGCAGCATAAGCACGAACCTCCGGCAGCATAATCATGCCTTCTAATCATTCGCAACCGTCATATCAGTTTGCTTATTCAAACGTGATATTACTTGTAAACATTTTCCTGAATATATGTAATAAAAATGACAGCATCGAAAAAATTGCTTGTGCATTAGCATGCACTATTGCCATCCCGTTCTGACACGTCCCATTCATTCTATTTGTAATCAATATTTATGAAATTAAGTACACAGTTTTCAATGCCAATTGCTTTGTGGCATGAATATTTTTTCATATTTCCTCTACTCCCAATTGAACAGTTTTGGTTAAGTTTGGCTAGGTTAGGTTCCACTCTTTTGCCGTAATTATTAAATACGAGAGGACGTGAATATAAAAAAACATTGATACTGCTCAATGAGTATATACATGTCTGCATTAAATTTCATATCTATTGCTAACGAATGGAGAAAAAAATTGTGCCAAAGTGGCGTCAGGATGGCTACGCTATGCCACGCTTATGGGATGGCTCACATGCTTCTGTCAGACCAGTCGCGTCCACAATTTTAGGATGAATTTTTTGGAAAGAATTTTCATAGCAGGTATAATAAGAATAATTAAGTAATTTCAATCATGATAAAGCTAAGAAATAAGCTATATACAAACAATATTTTTGCAAGCGCTGTCAAAATTCATTTCAATTTTAACTAGCATGATAAAAGCAAATTTGTAGCACGTTTCATGCACATAAGTTTTTATAATCGAAACCGAGCTTAACCTTTCTAACAACAAAGCTATTTATTCAAAATACACTACTGCAAGCACTAAGAGAATTATATATATGTATATATAAGACCTCTCAGGTACTTTTACGACCGGGCTTGCAATCTACAAGTTTCAGTGAGCCTAAAATATCTCCCAAACTAATGAACGCACCTTGATGAAACTTTGCACACGTCTTCACTAACGTTGATGTTTAGGTCGTGATTATTTTTCAATTGCGCCTTTAATTAAAGGTACACAAAAAGCCTGTGCAAGAGGATAGGAGATGTTAGGCTCACTGCGAATTTAGAACCGTATACGGCACACCAAAGGTGAAATTGAAAAAAAATGATCATGACCTAAACATCACCGTTTTTTTAACATTTGCTAAGTTCATTAGTTTGGGAGGTATTTTAGGCTTAACGAGCAAAATTAATTAATGCGGGGAGAAAGTGAAAAAAATGATCATTTATCACGTTCATTCGCTCGAGGGCATTGCGAATGAATAGTTTTGTTTGTAATTTGGTAAAGATTATTGAATTTGTCATTTAAGTTTATCTTGAAAATTCGTTCACAAAGTGTCAGATCGATATATCATTTACGAAAATCCCCTCAACACAGTGTTTGCTCTAAATCAGGAATTGAATCAAAAGTGGAATCCGGAAGGGAAATCCGGATAGGCAAGCACTTGAACATCTCCTCCTATGACAAACGCGCCAGTTATTTCTTTTCTGAACGAGAGAACGTAAGCTAAATATGAACTAGTCTGAATGGCCAATCATAGCTTGATGCGTGTTGTCGATATATGTGTTGCCAGCTGCAGCCAGCCAGCAGTGCGTTTTGAACTGGCGCCGCGTATGGTTGTTGATGCATGTGCTTCCAGTCATGCACTGTCGTCTGCCTCGATTCTACTAGCGTATGAGTCAGTGGTGTCTGGTGCGTAGAAACTAAGATTTTTTGTTAACTGATTTTAATGAATTGAATTATGATTGTTTAACATTCGCGTTCATAAATTTTGTCTGCAATGCATAGGCTTAATTTGCATTCAGAACTGGGATGTTTACCCTAAAAAAAACGTTTTCTTGATTGCCACTATGCCCATGGTGGGCTCAATACCATCAACCGTCGCTACTGGGGACGGGCGGGGTAACTCGGGACAGTCCTCCAACATGGCCTAAAACTGTTTTAGTAGCAAAACTAATTGGAATATTGCAAAACTAAATATAGTGGTGTAAACGTCAACATTTTTCCTATCTATGTAGTATAAAGGAAGTTCAAAAATACTACATTCACTAGCTTTGAAAAATTCCTGAAAAAAATGGTGAAAAATGATATTTTGAAAACTTACCTACTTCTGCTAAGGTTTGTAGTAGAAAAAATATTCACCATATTAAAAATTTTACTTACATAAAAGTTGCACCCAGGTGTTGGCTTGAAAACGTAATTGACTGATTTTGCCTATCTCATTCTAAAAAAATGGCACCCCCTGGGCTATTCGGGACACCCCCAAAAGCACATTTACAGTAGAACCTCAGTTAGCAAAGGCTCCAGTTGAGAAAAAAATTGATTAAAAGCAAAGAATGTTGATTACATTTGCCTTGCTGAGCAAAAAAAATGTTCACTTGTTGAAAAATTAGTGCATCATCGGTCATCACAAAATTGTGCATAGAATATCATATTTAGAATTGTGCACCAGGCATCATAGACTGAAAAGTAATTGACCCTAAACTATGATTTATTTCTCCAAAACATATGATGGTTGTCACTAAAACATTTTTTTCTGTTTCAGGTATGTTTTTCACAATCTTTTTAGCGTATTTTCTCATTTATGGAAAAAATGCACTATTGTGCTCACCATGTCCATCTGTCTGTCTGTCTGTCTGTCTGTCCGTCGGTGACCTCAAGTTTTTGTCGACGAGAAAATGCACTCTGTCACTCACTGCAGTGAGTACTGAGTTATATTTTTTTATAGTAAATTCACTTATCCCGATTAAAATGGTGTGAACTTACAAGCCATCCTGTGAGCTTACAGATACAGAAATGTATAAAAAAAATTTTTAAAGACCACGTTTTTCATGTGGACTAAAAAGTAGAAAATAATTTTTCGGCAGCAACTGATCTCTGTTTGCTTTCATTCTCTTGGTCTTTTGTATTTCAGTTAAAATATTTTACAACATCTAAAACAAAAAGGTGGAGCGCATATGTATTTAATTGTTTGGTGATTACCTGATATGATGAATATGATGGTTCATTGAACATTTGATAAGTGTATTGCTGATACTGTAAAATGGGGTAACTTAGACCGGCGGGGTAACTTAGACCACTTTTCGTTTTTTTAACAAAAACCCGCACAACTCAAAAACTATTTGACATAGAAAAATTTTGTCAATGGGCATTAAAGGCCTAATACTGAGGCTACATAAAACAATAGAAAGATTTAAAAAGTTTGCATATCTAATAGGTTAAAAAATTAAAAATGTGACTCACAAAAAAAAGCTATTATTTAAAGCCTGTCAGAGTACCCCCTCCAATTTTTTTTTATTTTTTTGGTTAAATAACTCTGGTTAAATAAACTCTGGTTAAATAACTCTGGTTAAATAACTCTGGTTAAATAACTCTGGTTAAATAACTTTGGTTAAATAAAGTGCTGTTTATCATTTTTAAACAAAAAAAATATGCAATTGGGGTAAGAGACCAGGGGTGGGCGTCTTGCCCCAAGGCCATGGGCCCATTGCCCCAGGAGTGGGCAATGGGCCCATTTTGACACTTCTTACAAATTGTTTCATTAAAAACTGAATAACTCTATAGGCATGTAATTTACATCATACATTCCTCATTAGTTTTAAGTGGAGCGTCTACCCTAAAAATCGAAATTTTTGGCTTTTTTGTTTCTTTAGCTCATCTTAAAGCTTACTTTCTGCCACATCGAACAGTACTAGAACCATCTCTATATGTTGATTTATGCGTTCAGGACAGATCCCGAAAGGAGGGAGGGTGGGGTCCCTTCACAAAAGTCCATGGGAATAATTACGGCCAAACCATATAAAATGGCTATCAGTGGACCTGCAGCTCAGTTATCATGTAGTCGTCCTATGCACCGCTGACTGACTTTGAAGTGAGATAACGCTTACTTCCGGTATCTATAAGCTACGTTACATGCCTTTAAATAGTGTGCCGCGGTTTTTTGCCTCTACTGAAAAGTTTGAAAACCTCTCTCACTGCAAACCTATCTCCTCCTAGAGTTTTGAAGCTACTTCAATGAGACATATCGTTCGATTTGCAAAGAAAATATCAACAAACTGGTCGTGGGCTTTTTTTGAGTTTGTTATAGTTCGGGTTTTATTTTGCAAAAAAGGCGGAGGAAAATGGAGGTAAAATAAAAAATTTTGGACAAAATGCTCCCACACCCACAAGAATGAGAAATTCATAAAACCCCTACAACCAGTTTGTAGATATGGTCTTTACGCATTGAATATGTGTCTCAATGTTGTAGCTTGAAAATCCTAGGAGGAAATAGGTTTTCTAAAGTACCCCTTTTTGGCCATTTTCTAAGAATTTCACATTTTCTTTCAATTTTTTAAAAAATTTACATGAATAAAACCTGAGTTTTTTTAGGGTTTACACATGTGTACCAAATTTCAAATTGATCCCTCTGTACATTACCAAGATAAAATTTATGGTAGACGCTCCCCTTAACTTCGAAGAAAACAAAGAACTACCTTGTATCAATTAAAACTTCACCAAAAATTTGGCTTAAAAAAGGGGAGGGGGCTGCTGCCCCATGCTACCCTACAAGTTGCATAATTAATCTTCTGGTAAAATCAATTTTCTAAGATGCCCAAAAATTGTGCATTGATATTGATACAAGTTTCTTGGAAATTTTCCATATTCAGCTAAAATCTTGGATTTCATATTGTATGTGCATTACCTTTATTGATCTGAAGATGCTCATTAAATGTATCCATGCTATTCCTGGCTGATAAAAGGAGGAAAAGGTCTAGTCTGTAATTACTCATATCTTGCATCTAGAGTGGAAAATATCTATATACCTTTATGGCTGTGACTATAGCTTTCCTCCTAGATCAATTACCTCCTTTTTATTTATAAACTAGATTGCACAATTGGGGTTGCAAAATGCCAAATGTACCTATTGTAAATTTGTCATATTGGAGCCACAAGATTTCAAAACGTTGTAGAAAATTTTCAATCCATTCTTGCATGTCACCACCACCAAACTTTCAGGAGATTTTAGTTCCCACTTTCACATTGTATGCAGCTTCTCCCTTTTGTAAGAACATGCCTTAATTGACCCCACAATGAGATTTATCAGTAATCAATTAGTTGATGATGAATTAGAAGGTAGATCAAATTCTTGTGTAATGTTGAGGGCAAGTTTGTGAGACTCAAATATATTTTGAACACATGGCTCCAAGGATTTTTTATCCATAATCAAATTTGGTAACTTAATTCTTAACTATTAAGGATTTTTAATTTTATCGGTATGATGGACCCATCATTTTCATTAATTACTTGAATTATCTTTGGGAAAAGCCTTTTTTAAGAAATGTTGAAGTTTAAAATAATTTCCTTGCATTTATTGGGGATATTGTTGGAAGAAATGTTAAAATTTCTTGGCTGGTGCCTCGGTTGACAGTTCACATTGCAATAAAAGGAAGTATTGCTAGAGAAATGTTGTAAAATTTCTTGGCTGATGCCTCCATGTGCTTACATATATGTATAGTGTGATGTATTTTTTGCAGATGATGAGATGTTCACTGACACGTACCCCATGGAGGACATCAGTGATGCCTTCTACATGGTCAAGGGCAAGAACATCACAGTTGGTGCTGAAGATATTCAGATCGATGGTGCAAACCCTTCGGCTGAGGAAGCTCCTGAAGAAGGTAAAGTAGTCTTGCATTTTTACTACCCTGGTTACATTTTCTGTTAATGTTGTTGTTATAGTACTCGTATTTTCTGCTAGCTTGACTACATCTTATTTTGATATTGTGTTTCTGTAGATGTAGGTTGGAATTCTACTGAAAAAAAGTTGTATTGCCAGAGATGTTCCACTCATGTTGCTTGGCATTTTTAATTCAAATCCTTATTTCTCATCATAGTTTAGTCATTAAAATACCAACATATGATGATTAACTATTTCTCTTAAGCTTGTGACCTATCCAGCAAATAAGACTTTGAAAATAGATCATTTTTGTCAATGTGCCACACACTTGATTCACATATCTAACACAATCATTCTACCTGGCTCACATATTTCTCATCTCTGAAATTGCAAACCTCTTCAGTAACATGTCTATTTTAGTTTGTTTTAAGTAATATTTTCATAGCGCACTTTGAATTTTCAACCCTTCCCATTTATGCAGAAGGCAGGGAATAAGTACAATGTTTCCATACAATTCAATGATAGAATTTTAACTGTCCCAGTAAATAAAAATAACTGATAATAATTCTGACTTTTGCAACGCGCAGGTGGAGACGCCACGTCCACATCTGGCGTTGACGTTGTGCTGTTCATGAGACTACAGGAGACTGGCTTTGCTTCAAAGAAGGACTTCCTGCTCTACCTGAAGGGATACCTCAAATCGTCAGTTATTATACAGGCTTATTCTAAATGATGGACCCAATTTGATAAATTTTTATATATTTAAGTATAGTTTAAAAAAAATAATTTTACGCCAATTGAAGAGAAAGATTTAAAGTTAGAAGAGGTACAGGCGGGACTGTATGTCCCGCCTCTACCAGCAACTTACCAGCAACTCTGTTTACATCCCGCCTCTACCAGCAACTCTTTTCACGTCCCGCCTCTACCAGCAACTCTGTTTACGTCCTGCCGCTACCAGCAACTCTGTTTACGTCCCGCCTCTACCAGCAACTCTGTTTACGTCCTGCCTCTACCAGCAACTCTGTTTACGTCCCGTCCAGCAACTCTGTTTATGTCCCGCCTCTACCAGCAACTCTGTTTACGTCCCGCCTCTACCAGCAACTCTGTTTACGTCCCGCCTCTACCAGCAACTCTGGTTGATCTGAAGTACCGTATCACCGCTACGGCACTCAGTAACAGAAGATATGCTTTCCCGCGTGTGATACGAGTTTGGCTACCGTTTCGATGTTTGCTGTGCTTCACGGAGGGGACATATTGAACATTTATAAATGCTTAATAAAAAAAACTTTATATCTCTCTCTTTCCATCGGTGAATAAATTGTTCATTTTAAATTTATACTTAGATAAATAAGAATTTATTTAATTGGGTCCATTATTTAGAATAACACTTTACATTGTTGATTATTCAACATTTCTTGATAGGTCTGATATAATTAAATTTTTCTTGCTGGATCTTATATGGTTCTACATTATCAGATCCAAAATAGATCTCTCAACCTGATATCATCATGATTAATATAAAGACACCACCTGGTGCAAAACCGCACGTCATGTCTCAATTACCTTAATTCTCAAGCAAAGTCTCAAGCAATTACCTCAATCCCCAACATAGCGCAGCGTTATAACTGAAGATCGACCAAACAACTTCCCGTACAATATCCCGTCATCCGAAGACTATGAAACACTGCTTGCAACAACGGAGGCTCATGTACTAGAAGTCATACCAGTCATATTTGAGGATACCCCTACATGGCGCATCCCAATCAACACATTCTGCCCGGACCAAAACTACCCACTGAAGCAAAGCTCACACCCAACCGAGATGAGAAACCTCTTTCTCCACCATGCATCCACAGAGCATGCAAACTCTACACATATCTACACCGACGGCTCTAAGACGAACGGCGCAGTGGGATGTGCAGCTGCGGCCGGCGCAGCGGCGGTGTCAAGACGACTCAGTTTAAGCTCGGCAATCTTCACCGCTGAGCTTGTCGGTGTCAGCTGTGCCCTTAGCCTCATAGACCAACTGCCCGGAGACGATTTTACAATATTTGTAGACTCCAAAAGTGTGGTGCAGGCTTTGAGAGCGTACAATAGCAGGCACCCCATCGTCTGGGAGATCCTAACCGGGCTGGTGCGCCTGGCGGGGGCGGGGAGAGCGGTGAGCGTCTGTTGGGTGCCCGGACACGTGGGGGTGCGAGGCAACGAGAGGGCGGATGAGGCGGCGGTGAACGCCGCCTCTTCAGACCAGGCGATCTATAGCGAGCAGGTCCCTTGCCGGGACCACTACCCTATCATCAAGGCAAGCATCCGCCATATCTGACAGGAACAGTGGCTGAACGCGAGAGAGAACAAACTAAGAACAATCAAGGATTGTGTACGAGCGTGGAGTTCATCATACCAGAAATCCCGGAAGATGGAGGTAGCGCTGTGCAGACTAAGGATCGGCCACATGCGCCTCACTCACAGCTACCTGATCGAACGCCGTCCAATGCCGTATTGCAATGATTGTTTGGTACCTCTGACGGTCTTGCATGTTATGGCGGAATGCCCGAGCCACAGTGATACTCGGCAAAACTACTACCCCAACACCACTGCTCTCAGCCCAAATGAAATGCTGTCCAGGATGCTAAGAGAAGTTCCCCGAAGAATCTTTGGGACTGACAATCTCAGACAATATATAATCGAGTGTAACCTGCTGCCAGATATCTAGCACGGCACCATGACATAGGTCTGAAGAGACCCACACCTCCGACTAAACACCATATTCGTGTCATCATGTTACTGGTTGAGATGGAATAGCAGAAGACGGATAGAACCTACGCCTTGGAAATAGAAAAGCATACACAATAGACCAGATGGATCAGGCTACGAGCCTGAAACCAACGAAGAAGCCTGACCCTGCAAAACGAATATCGGACCTTCGGCGTGAAATAGACTACACTGATCTGAAGCGCTAGAAACCTCTCCCTACTACTACTACTCATGCGTGTGAATTCTTCTTGTGTGTTGATAATTGAATGTAAAGTGTTATTCGTAGCTATGCATATCTATTTATGACTTTGTGCACTTCACTTTTGTTGGATGCTTTAGTAATGCTCGTGTATTTAGCCATCATCCGAGTGTTGAAATGAATTTTTGTATTGCAGTCTGAAGGAAAAGCTGCAGGAGAGCAACCCCGATGCTGTGGAGAAGCTCCCCGGCATCCAGAAGCCTCTTCAGGACATCCTTAAGAACTACAAGGTAACAAGGCAGCTATATACATCCTTAAGAACTATAAGGTAACAAGGCAGATGTATACATCCTTAAGAACTATAAGGTAACAAGGCAGATATATACATCCTTAAGAATTATAAGGTNTGCTTCAAACGGGTCTGTTTTATGTTGAAGTCAAAACACGGAATCTTTTTATTCATGCCTCGCTCATCATAGCCATGAATAATTGATGACAACATCTAATGCTGTCTCTTATACACATCTTCCCAGCAACTCTGTTTACGTCTTGCCTCTACCAGCAACTCTGGTTGATCTGAAGAACCGTATCACTGCTACGGTGCACTCAGTAACAGAAGATGTGCTATCTTGTGTGGGGGACGAGTTTGGCTACCGTTTAGATGTTTGCCGTGCAGCACAAGGGAGACATATTGAACATTTATAAATATGTAAAAAAATCTGAATATTTCTCTTTTCACTGGTATAAATTATTAATTTTTAATTTATACTTGAATAAATAAAATTTTATTGAATTGGGTCCATCATTTATAATAACCCTGCACAATATAATGAGTGTACATTATAATACAAGATTTCTTCATATAATTAAATATTTCTTGATAAATCAACTATAATTCAATATTTCTTGGTGGATCTGATATGGTTCTACATCATCTGATGTGAAATAGATCTCTCAACTTGATATCGTCAATATAAACGCACAACCTAGTGCATAACCGCACGGCATGTGTGTGAATTTTCTTGTGTGTTGATCATTGAATGTAAAGTGTTATTCGTAGCATATCTACTTATGGCCTTGTGCACTTCACTGTTGTTGGATGCTTTAGTAATGCTCGTGTATTTAGCCATCATCCGAGTGTTGAAATGAATTTTTGTATTGCAGTCTGAAGGAAAAGCTACAGGAGAGCAACCCCGATGCTGTGGAGAAGCTCCCCGGCATCCAGAAGCCTCTTCAAGACATCCTTAAGAACTATAAGGTAACAAGGCAGATATATACATCCTTAAGAACTATAAGGTAACAAGGCAGATACTGTATATCAGCTGAAATTCACAATCTCGTGGAAGCCTCGTTATTTTTCTGGGTTTCCAAGGTTAAGGTGTTGCTGGTATCGAAACTTTTTATTGTGTTGGTAAATAACGATTCTTGTTTTGTACATGAATTTTGAACGATTAATGAATTGTGACTTGAAATGACTTGTGAACGATCAATGAATTGTGACTTGGAAAAATATATTACCCGCCAAAGATTCAGCCCGAGATCTTCTTATGACTTGATATTTGGCTTTCAACTCTTCAGCCCGTCAAACTTTTACTGCTTAGCAATTTCCGATTCAAATCCAAATAAATAAAATATCAATTTCCGTCGTATACTTTTAAGCGTATTAACAGGGGCTAAAATATTAATTTTTGTGGTGCAGGACCTTCAGTTTTTCACCGGCGAGAGCATGAACCCCGACGGCATGGTGGTGATCATGGACTACAAGGACTTCGATGGCGAGGAGAGACCTGTGCTCTACTTCCCCAAATATGGCCTTCAGGAGGAGAAGTTATAAGCCAGCTCCACCTTATGCTCTACCATTATAACTGCTGGTATGTATTTGCGTTATCTTTTAACAAAAGCAATAAGCTCCACCTTATGCTCTACCATTATAAGTGCTGGCAACTATTTTCGTTATCTGATATGAAAACCATTATGCTCTACCAATATAAATGCTGGTATGTATTTTCGTTGTCTAATAAAAAAAAGAAATAAGCTCCACCTTATGCTCTACTATTATAATTGCTGGTAAGCATCCGACCTTTTTATGCGCTATATTCTGATCCATTTAGATTTGATTACATCGGTTACGGTTCGACAAAGTCTTCAGTGATATGTCGTTAATGTAAATTTCATTATGTTAGTTATTCTTATTTTCATTAATTTTTTTTTTCTTTGCATTGGCTCTGTAGTTGTTACTGTCCGCGCGGCTGTTTTGAATTCCCGTCCAATGGACGAGTGCTAATTTCTTCTACAATTTTTTCCTCCTGCTTTTCTTTCTCTTCAAAAAAATTACTTCTTGTGCTCTGGTATAAATGAATTTGGTATGAATTGTTGTTTGTATGTTTGGTTTGTTGTTTTTTTAGGTTGGAAGATGAAGTTAGTCAAATACAGGTAATTGA